TCTGGATTGAATGATATGCTAGACTTTTGTACGTTACAAAGATACTATTATACGAAACGTAAAAAACGAAATAAAAAAAGTCAACATTAAAAGTTTTTCTGGAAGTATATTATTATTATTATTTTTCACATTCTCGTGGGCAGAATTTGAATTTGAATAGTATCTTTTACACTTGTCATGAAATCTATCGTTAGTGTTTTTTTTAATGTTTATTCATAAATGTACTTTTTTTTCTTTATAATAGCCCTTTATTTTTTTCTTTTTAATTTTTTTATCACGTCATCTATTTTATATCACTTTTTTTTCCTCATCTTTCTCGTAATTATAAAAGATACCTCTTAGTCTTTTCTCTTAATTTGCTACGCGAATTGATATTTATTAAGAGAATAAAGAAAGAAAAAAAAAAGTATGTAAAAACAGAGATTATTTCACATGGCCGTTTTTTTTTTCTGCTATATTTATACATCTTCATGTTCATTGGAAAGGAGTCTCTTTTACTTTATCGCTTTTTATATATATCAGATAATTTGACACTTTATAAGATAAGTTTGATGTTCTCACACTCTTTTACTTCTGCCTTTTAGAACCATTCTTTTAATTTCTGTCTTTCTTGTTAAATTAATCTTCACAGCTATTGTCTTCGTAACAGTTAAGCAATACAATAAAAACATCAACTACTGATCGAATTTTCGGTCATTAACTAAAATAGTGACCGAAATAGTAACCAATCAAAATCGGTTATTATTTTTTTGGTAGTTGATTTCAGTGAACAAATCAGTGACCGATTGATAACTCTCTAAAACAGGATTTAAACTCAATATTTTAGAGTTAGAGATCGATACTCTAATCACTTAGCTACTAGGAATTTTTTATAATAGTTTATAAATAAATTATATTTATATATAAATAAAAATATATATCCAGTGTAAATATATAAATATAAAATATATAAATACAAATATATATATATATATATATATGTGTGTGTGTTGGATGTGAGGGTGCGCGAAAGTGTGTCGAGTAGATTTTTAAAATTTGATGTCAAATTTGTGAGCGGGTCTCTTTATATGAGTTTATAATTTAATGACACAATATAATCTTTATAATTTATTTATATAATGATATAAAATAATTTTTTTCTTTATTTATTTTTATTTTATTTTAATTTATTCTTCTTATATTTTTTCTTCTATTATTTAATTAAAATTCTTATATTAAAATATTTTTTCAATATTAAAAATAATTAAATATTTATTTTTAAAATTATTTAATTTAACAAATTATTATAAATTAATCTAATTATGATTATTAATAGAACAATTTTTTCCTAACATATATTATTATAAATTAATCAAAATCATCTTTTAATAATTATTTTTTCCAGACATGGATTAATTCATAATAATTTGTTAAATTAAATAATTTTAAAAAATAATTTTAAAAATAAATTTTTAATTCTTTTTAATAATGAAAAATTATTTTAATATAAGAATTTTAATTAAATAATAGAAGAAAAAAAAGATAAAAAGAATAAATTAAAATAAAATAAAAATAAATAAAGAAAACAATTATTTTATATCATTATATAAATAAATTATAAAGATTATATTCTATCGTTAAATTACAAATCCATACAAAGAGACTCGCTCACAAATTTGACATCAAATTTTGAAAACTCACTCGACACACTTTCACCATCTAGCGTGATCCTCACATCGAACATATAAATATATAAATATATCAAAATATATAAATATATTTGTATTTATATATTTTATATTTATATATTTACACAGATATATATTTATTTGTATATAAATATAATTTATTTGTAAATTTTTATTAAAAAATTCTAACAGTTGAGTGGTTGGAGTATTAATATCTAACTCTAAGGTACTGGTTTTGAATCTTATTAGTAATAATTTTCTTAATCTGATTAAAAAAAATTGTTAATAAGAGAAATTATATATTTTTGTGGAAATTAGAGCAATTAAATTGTTATTATGGACTAAAACCCAAAAAGTAAAAAATAAAAAATATAATTAAATAAAAGAAAAACTATATACTTTTGCATTTTTATTTTCAAATATTAGTTTTTTTATGAAATTATTTTTAATTAAAATAATTAAAGTGATATATATATATATATATATATAATTTTTTATTTTTTTTATTTTAATTAATTAATATTATCAAATTTTAGGTTCATGATTAAAAAAATACCAATAATTTAAATTTTATTAATTCTATAATTTTATATAATTATTATTATAAATTTAATTCTCCAATAACTAATCATATTAACACATTTATTAAATTAAAATTCTTTATTTTAATTAATTATTTTGATTTTTTTAACAATTTTTTTTAAATAAAAACGATAAAACTTAAAATTAATTTCTAACTAAATATATGTTAATAGTATATTATATTATTATGTTTAATTAAATTTTAAAATAAGTTCACTTAATCTTTACACTTTTATAAAAATACTAATATAAACTTAAAATATTTATCCAATTACTAAATTATTTAAAATATTAATATAAATTTGAAATATCAATTCAATAATTAAAATAATTTTTAATTTTTTTATAAATACATTGAACTACATTTTTATTAACATAAAAGTAATATATATATATATATATATATATATATCAAAAAGAGACTAAATTAATAATTAATTTAATCATTGATTATATATATAAAAGAGATTAAATTAATAATTATTTTAATGATTGAATAGGTGACTAATTTAATAATTAATTTTAATTTTTTTATTTACATACTAAATTAAAAAATAAAATAAAATAATTATATTACTAAATTATTTAATAAGTTAATAAACTATTTTTTAAATTTTTTATAATGTTATTAAAATTTTTATCAATTATTTTAAATTATGAAGTAGATCTATATTTAATATATTATTAAAATATTTTTAAAAATTATTTATATAAATAAAAAATGGTCACTAATTTATATATTATTTGTTTAGTGACTGAAATTCTAGTCACTAAATCAGTCACTATATATAAAAAGAGAAATCAGTACCATTAGTAACTGAATTTTTCGGTCACTAATTTCGATCACTATTAACCATTTTTCTAGTAGTGACCGAATCAGTGACTGATTTTGTGACCGAATCAGTAACCGATTTCCGTGACTGAAATTTTAGTCACTAAATATAAAACGGAAATCAGTCACTGATTCAGTTACTATCGATGATTGAATTTTTTGGTTACTAATTTCGGTCATTATTAACCATTTTTCTAGTAGTGAAGGTGCATACAGTCTAATTACTTCATGTTTCTCCTTAAAATTTTACCATATTCCATTGCTTGTTCATGTGTGATGGTATATATCAACTCCGCTATGTTCCTACTTTCTATTCTTTAATTATTTTTTTACACTTATTATTTTTTTATCTTTCGTCTTATTTCCTTTATATATATATATATATATATATATATATATATATATATATATATATATATATATATATATAATCGTTCAAATAGTTGTAATAATAAGAGGATTTTTGGAATGCCATTAACACATATCTAACGAGAGTTATTTACATAAATTTTTAACCAATAAAAAAATATTTTAAGGAACTCTTATTTATAAAATACTATTTAAAGAATTATTACTAAAGGTGTTTTAGGAGACATAAAATTGTTTGGAAAAAAGAATGTTTTGGAGTGTATGGACAGAGTAGAGGATGTGATGAGTGGTAAAATTGAAAAGGAAAAGAAAGACGGAAAGAGTAATTAGCATGGGTGGAAATGAAAGAAATGTATAAAAGAAAATAGTATGATAATATCATAGTTGATTAAGAAATGTGGTAAAGAATTAAGCTTAAGCCTTTAATTAGGGTAGAGAGATCCAAGAATTGTTTTTTCCATCTAGTAAACTTGTCCGCAAGAAAGTCTTTAGACATGAAACATGTGATGTGAGTTAGTAGGTAGTTCAGATTGAGACCATTAATTTAGAGGAGTAACTTCTGGATCAAAGCATGCAAGAAATTAAGTTATTAGCTGTAGTCCTTATTACAATTAATATATCGAATTCCTAATATCTGGAAACTTGGTGTAAATTGAGTATATATTCTACAAAATTTTCAACTACAACTTTATATGTAGTAAATATTCAAAAAAAAAATTAATAGTTACGTGAAGTAATTAATATCAAGTGCATGAAACAGAAAGCATAGAACGTGCTACTTACTTCCAATTAGAGATCAAAATATGTTATGTATAAAAACATACATACTCCAAATTAATGATAGAATAATTTGTCATCAATAATAAAAAATAAATAAATATTTTTATAACAATTACTAATGATATATATAAAACCATTGATGACATGAAATTTTAATAGTGTCCAAAGGGAAATACTAGCGACTAATATACATGACAGAACTTAAATTGAAGTTGGAAAATTAAGTAATAGCCAATTCCTGGAGCGAAGTATATGATGTTGTGGTGATTGGTGTTTAATGGTAAGAGAAAGAGGTTAGGGAAAGAGATTATGCTTACCTTCTCTTAATTCCTTGTTTAACCTACTGTAATTTAGCTGAAAATTTAAGCTTAAAGAATTTCATCCATTATTATATATGCCCTACTTGTCATCTTCATGTGGCTGATTAATTAACACATCCGAAAGATTTTCTGTTCACACGTCCTGTTCTCCTCCCTCCATGTGAGGAGAAAGATTGAGTGAACTGCAGAAAGCTAAGTTGTTGAAAACTCAGTGTCAAACAAATATGTGGATGCTGCGTGTGTTATAAACTATTGGTTCAAGTTAGAAACATGGAATTGAAAGCTCCAACACTTCACAAGGATTTACATACATACTTACATGCTTCTATATAGAGAGAGATCTCAGTAGTCTTCACTCTTCATGTTACAATTTCTTTAGCCAGCCAGCTAATTTCTTTTCTAGCTCTAATATACTAACTAATTATCTATATTAAACTTTCTAGTTACTACTTACAACAACAAAAGAACCAGGCCAAAAAGTAATTCATCGCTCCAAGAACACACTATGTCCCTTGAGACTGAATTCAGTAAATCGTGGTAGTTACATGCAGTTAACACACTGGGCAAAACTTTCATGGTTTGCGAGCTCAAGAGCAACTCTCTTGCCTTCTCCAACAAAGGGTTCACTCCAACCCTTTGGTTCTTTAGCACTTCATCTTTATTGGGACGCCTAAGAAGGCCAATATAGCTATCCAAGTCATGAACGCAAGAAGGGTTTTGCACGTTGAAGAAGTCAAGCATTAGTTCAACCCCCACATGAGCATAACACGAGCAACTCCAAGGGAACTCGTACCTCCCTCCCAACAAAACCCTAAAATTCTCGTTGAACACGACACCTGGAAGTTTCGTGATGGGGTCATTAACATTCGCTATTCTTAGCACCTTCACACCCAACTCCTCACACCGGCTTTTGAATTCGGAGTTACCAACGCGTGGTCCCCCAAAGGAGAATACAGTAACTGGTACCTCAGTACAACTTTTTTGGTTACTTCTTTTGTTCAATCCAAGCTCGGCTATGTCATAGGCAAGCAAGATGGCCAAGGCACTCCCCATGCTGTGACCAGCCAAGGATATGCTAAGGCTCTCGTTCTCCCCTTTGTACTTGTTCATCAACCTTGACACCTCAGAGAGAAGCTGTTCCCTGCAACTCTCGAGTCCAAACTTGGAAGGGCTTTCATCTGAGGTGTAAAGAGAGAGAAACCCTGACTCCACCTTCACTTCAGGTAGAGGATTATAAGGATCAAGCAAGGCAGGTCTCAAGGAACTCATCAGGTTTGAAATCCATTCTTGATTTGTAACTGTTCCTCGGAAAGTGATCAATATGTCTCTCCTTCCAAGTCTCTTGACAGCTTCATCTGACGACACAGCCACGTAACCAATCCACCGACCAGAGGAAGAAGAGAAAGAAGAAGAGTTTGACATGTTGGGAAGGTTTATTTCAGGTGTGGCATAGATGTACTTGGTGACGTCATAGCCAGAGTTGGACATTCCCACCTCACTCAACATGCTCTTTTTCCCATACTTGCAGTTCAAGTAGCGTTTGGAGGTGGGGTCAAGATCAAAGGCCTTGTAAGAGGCGGTTACAAAGTCGCCATAGCGAATGATCTCTTGGCGGAGAAGAGGGTGCAAGGGATCCAAAAGGTTTTCCCAGTTGTTGCACCCTTGAACCTCTCTCCAAAAATTGGAGAGATAGGTAGTGTGTGCGGGTCTTGCAGTGTTGGTGGGAGCATTATTAGCATGGTTGGTGGTGGTGATTCCTAGTGCGGAACCCGAAATCACAATTGAGTGGTTAAGAGGAGACAAGTCATTTTTTCTCGTGGGAAGTGAAACCTGGCCGAAAGGGTGAGACTTCGTTGTGTGAAAGGTTTGTGAGAATGTGATGTGATTTGTGTTGGTTCTGCTGGGTAGATGAGTGACAGAAGCCATAGAGGCGCAAAGGAGAGGAAGAATTAGAAGCAGTGAGGGAGAGAGAGGGGGTAGGAGGCTTCTTCGTGGATCAAAGAAGAGACATACAGTAGTCTTATATGAAGTGGAGAGAAGGGGAATTGTGCGTGAAAGGAGACCAAAAAAGCATGTTAGGCGAGGATTTGACCGAGAACTTCAAATTCGTATTTTTTCCAATAGTTTTCTTTGTTTATGTGGTCGGTTGTACATTGTTCACGAGTTGGGTCGGGGTTTTTTTTTTTTCTTTTCTTTTCTTTTTTCTCTGTTGCGGCTGGGTGAGTGGAGTGAAAAATAAGAGAGAGAATGCTTTAATGAATTACGAACATCATCAAGTGGACCCTATATTTTTTTCCCTTGATTGAGGTTGACTTCAACTCTATATGCCAAAGAAACAGTTTTCTTTCCTCTGCCACGAGTGAACAAAAATATAGAAATATATTTGTATAGTAATTCAATGAAATCGATATCCATTGCAGCTGTAACCATATTCATATTTCATGTATACATCCTCTGACTTTCTTCTACACCAACTATATATTTTTCTCTTCTTACTACATATTTATTATTATTATTATTTTGTTCTATTGATTTCTATCACCTCATTAGTCTTGTTTTCTCCCAGAGTGAAGATTTTGTTGTTTGCTTTTACATACATGCAAGTTTTGGAGAAATCGTTTCTTATTTATTAAGGGCAAAAGGAAATAAATAGTGTTTAAAGCATTATAAGTTTTATGTCATTCTCAATAAGGAAAGTGCATTTTAACAGCTATAAGATATTTGGAAACCTTAATAAATTATAATATTTTACTTATATTACAATCAATTTTACTTGTTTACCTTATACATGTCTCTCTTTTTTCAACTCTTTTTAGTTTTACCTTAAAATGACTGACAAAATTTTAATATATTTTTTGGAGGTTTTATTGTAGGACATTTTTTAAATGAGCTAAAATTTTATCTATAAATAAACTTTCTATCTAAACTAACAATATAAACTTTTAAATAGTTCATGAAATTTAATATGCAATATAAGAAAACATCGTAGAAGTTTAATATATTAATATTATCATGACGGATATGGCAGTCTATTAAATTAATTTTTTTAATAACTCAAAATATAGATTTTCTAATTAAATACAGTTCTAAATGAATGTTTTTCATGTTTCATAAATAGGGATCCATTGACAAAGGTTGAAAGTTAATATCTTTCAAGCATACAATTCACACGACAAGAGTCAAATTTTGTTCAGCTAACAAGAAGTTCGATTATCCCGTTATCACATTGTTCATAATCTCAAAAAGTTAGTCTTAGTAACTATACATGTTCTAGTCAAAAGTTGCATGAATTTTAGTAAAAAACCTATTCCAAATTTAACCCACATTTTTTTTCTAGCCTCTGCTTCAATTTTTATGGATATATATGGACCTTAATAATCAAACATCATATATTTTTAATGATTGATTTTATCAACAGGATTTGTTGTAATAGTTGTTATTGTAGGCGAAATTTTAACAAGATATGATATCTAAAAAAAGAAAACTATTTGGGTGAACTGAGTGACGGATCTTCTTAGGAGCTAAGGGGGTCGTAGCCCCTCCAAAGTTTTATAACTCATGTAATTTATAATTTTGAACCTTCAAACATAATGAACATTTAATATATTTTACTTGTATATTTACAATTTTATTCTCCCAGTCCCTCTTCAATTTTATAACTCTCATATAATTTATGATTTGGTTCCCCTCAAACTTAACGATCATTTTATATATATTTAAGTATATATCTAAAATTTTATCTTTTCACCCTTTTATCTTCTTTATTCCTTTTATATTTATTTATTATTTATTAATAATATATTATTTGGTTCTTCAAGATCAATGGTCAAGATCCGCGATCGAGTGGGCTAAATACCGCTATGTAAATACAAGTCTCATCAATTACTACAATATAAATGTCAAAGGAAAATTTTATTTTTTCCATTAAATTAAGCATGTAAAAATGAGGTATTTATTTTATCCGAAAAGTAAAGAGTGAACATGCATAAAAACTACATACATATTCTTGAAAGGTTGAACATTGTAGATGGAGGTGTGTAACCTACAAAAGTCATTTCACAACTTGTAAAGTTATAACTCCAATTCCAATTCTACAAAAGGTAAGTTGTACCATGTACTTGCTTCTGAGCGAAGGGAAATAATTAGGTGGTTCCAAATTTGTATGATTTGTATTAATTTGATCAAATAAGCATCATTAACTTTTGTAGTAATTAGAGAAATTAATCACATATTAAGCAGAGAAGTGTTAGTAGTGTTTAATAGTATAATATGTCTTATCGACGGAGGGGGAAATTGCAAATAGCAGATAGTAGAGGGGAGGCGATGAATAATGAAGAATATATAGGAATTTGGGGAATAAAAAGGAGCGCCGACAATTTATTTAGACAGGGCTGAAGTATTGGGTAATTATTTTGAGGGGGTTCAGAGGTGACGCACGCTTATGGATGGATGTTGATTAATTGTGAGAGAGAGACTAATGGGAATACAAAAACTCAACCATACACTTACAATGTAATGGACTTTCAACACGTATACCAATAATAACATAACAACACCCTACTACCCACCATAACTTCTGTTCCTACTTAACTCTTTTTCTTTTATCTTTAACCCAAGAAATTCACATAAATTCATAACCTATAATATCAAATATAATTTAAAAAAAAAAGTTACATTATAAATATGTTGTAATAAAAATAGACCGTAGTGATGGAGACACAATAATTGGGCAGCAAGTTCTTAAACTGTACATAGATTGAGACGAGACCAGGTGAGAAAATTATAACATAGATAGATAGAAAAAAACTAATAAATGCGCATGGTATCATAAATTATGAAAAAAATAAATATCTCTCTTGGTGTTTAATATTTCATAATTTTCTAGTTTAAGATAATAGAATAATGAAGTGGTGTTGAATTAAATTGCTTGCAAGTTATGTTGTGTTTATATTATAGTTTCGCACGTTATAGAGGGTTAACCTTTTTTATTAGATCCAAAATTCGTTTGTTTTCTGCAAAATAAAAACATTATAACCAAAAGAGTTTTTCTAAAACAAAAGGTCAACTAGTAGATTTTCCAAACATGCTATCTATTTTATGATATTTTTAGAAATTTCTTTAATATCCGTATGAAAAATATTAGCATTAATTTTATTTTTAAAATTGCTGAATCCATGTGAATCGGATGATGGAGCAATTGTATATATTTTTTAGAGGACGACAATACAAACTAATTTTAAGACGTGATAAAAAGTATTGAAAAGTCAATACTAAACTAATTCAGGAGTTATCATATTCACAAATCTAATAACAAAACCATAAAAACCATTGATTTTAAATAATGGCTTGTGAACCGTAGATCTAACTTCTACTTAAATAGATGGATTTCTTAAGCTTGTGAACAAATAAATTTACATAACTAAAACAAGAGAACACAAACTAATAACACAATGGTGAGAAAGAGACCAAGGTAGCAGAGAGAAAGAACAAGAGTGAAATGATGACCAAATGGTTGGAAGAACAACAATGGAAGAGACCGTTTGAGACCAATGGGAAAGACACGAGTTACTAAAGTTGGACGCAAGAATATTGTTTTATTATTATTTTTATTTAAATTAGACATAATTTTTTTTTAATATTTTAGAATGATAAAAAATAATATATTATTATTTTTTATTTAAATAATTATTAAGATAATGTTAATATTTAATATTTTATTATATTTTTATTTTATATATATACAAAAATTTTAAAATTTTCATCAATGAGGTTTATTTGTTAATAAGAATTGCTTAAGAATAAAAAAAATAATATTTTATTATGATTTCACATAAAAATGGTTTAAAATTAAAAAAAATTATATTTAAAATAAAAAAATTATTTATATAAATAATTCTAACTGAATTTTAACGTATAAGACTCACAATAAAATATTTATATTTATTCTTTAAAACAAATTCTCATGTAATCAAGATAAAATATGTCTAAATTTAAAATTTGTGTAAATAAATTCACATTCTATATTTTTTATTATAATAAAAATATTTGAGATGTCTTTGTCTTGAAATTTAAAAGTTGGCAATAAAATTTACATTTTATTATTAAGAAAATAATATAGAAAGTATTCTTTAAATTGTTTTTTTTATATAATTTAATATATATCACTAGAATAGAAAAACAGTAAATTTTTACTAATTAAGAAGTACCCTAACATTAACTTCGTCCTACGACAAATTTAATACAAATAAAAAGATATACATAATTCACACTAATTAAGAAACTTAATAACATTTCATTGTACTGATTTGGTTTCAATTTGTTTTAAACTACTCTTTCTTTAAACTTTTTTTTTTAATTTGATGTAAAAAACTAAAACAAGAACGCCAATTAAAGAATGAATAGTTTAAAAATAATGTTATTATATAAGATAACTTTAACTGAAATTGATTTATACGTAAAAGTAATTGTACTTATCTGTATTGACTAGTAAAAATTCCAAACTAAAAAAAGCATAAATTATTCCATTCCTCCCTCTGATACTAATCAAACAACCCTTTAATTGATCGCAAAAGGTAGAAGAATCCAAGATATATTCAACATTTTGAATTGAAAGTGATGCAGATTGTTTGGTCGAATAACCTTAACCTAATAACCTGTGTTCTGGAGATGTATATGTGTTTAGAGAGGTCTTAGCAAAAGCAACGATGAATTCAATTCAAATTTCAATTACTAACTTTTTCTTATGCCGCCCACGATTGCATGCATATCAACTACTTTCTTACTTTACATTCCAACTATATTCATCTTCTTTTCATCCTCTTCAAACCTCTTAATATTTAATAATTATTATATTATTATTAATATAATACATATGTTATTGCATAAATTCTTCCATATTATAAATAATAAGTGCTTAAATAAGAATA